CCTCCAATTAAAATAAATAAATTAATTTAATTATTTAAAAAATAGAGTTGCAATAATCTGTTAGTGCTCACAGTATCAAAACATGTAAACTGTGACATCAGTAACACAAAATGAGATGGGAATAAATAAAAGCATAGAGTTTTTCCATGCATTTATGTCAAGCTGCTATTATTAATATCTTAAATCAGACTGGTATAATTAAAAATCTTTCATGTAAGCATGGTGGTAACTAGCATTATTAATTAATTAGGATTTTGTTTTTGGTAAGTCTTTGAAATGTAGCATATTATTTCATTATAGAAGCAGGATGAATAATTTATTAAATAATTTTGCATGCTTTTTCTTTTTAATTGAAGTACAGTTGATTTGGACTCTTCTGGTGGCTTAGCAGTAAAGAAGCTGCCTGCCAAGAATAAGATGCGGGTTTGATCCCTAGGTCAGGAAGATCCCATGGAGAAGGAAATGGCAACTCACTCCAGTATCCTTACCTGGGAAACCTCATGGACAGAGGAGTCTGGTAGTAAATGATTAATACATAGGGTCACAAAGAGTTGGACACGATTTATCGACAAAACAACAACAATAGTTGATTTGCAATATTATAATATTTTCCAGTGTATGGCATAGTGGTCCAGTAGTTTTCCAGGGTATACCCAACTGTTAGTTATTATAAGATGATGCTTATAATTCACTATGCTATAGAATATATGATTGTTGCTTATCTATTTTATACTTAGTAGTTGTATCTCTTAATCCCATTCCACTAGTTTGTCCCTTGTATCTTCCCTCACCCGTTTGTAACCAAAATTTTGTTTTCCTTATTTGTGAGTCTGTTTCCATTTTGTGTATGCATTCATTTGTATTTTTTTTAGATTCCACATGCAAGTGGTATCATACAGTATGTGTCCTTCTATATCTGACATTTCACTAAACATAATATTGTCTAGGTCCATCAATATTGCAGCAAATAGCAGAATTTCATTCTTTTCATGGCTTAAAAAGAGTAATATTTCTGTGTGTGTGTGTGTGTGTGTACATATGCACATGCGTGTGCCATATTATTCTATCCATTCATCTATTGATGGACACTTGGGTTGCTGCCATACATTTGCTACTGTAGTGCTTCTATGAACAATGGGGTTATGTATCTTTTCATTGTTTTTGTTATTGTTCTGGATATATATCCAGGAGTGGAATTGTTGGATCATATGGTAGTTTTATTTTTAGTTTTTGAAGGAGCTCCATATGGTTTTCCATAGTGGCTGCACCAATTTCCATTCCTACCAACAGGGTGAAAGAACTCCCTTTTCTCCACAGTCTTTCAAACTTTGGTTATTTGTAGACCTTTTTATGACATCCATTTTGACTGGAATGAAGTGGTACTTCATGGTTGTTTTGATTTGCATCCCTGTTATTAGCCATGTTGAGAGTCTTTTCATATGCCTGTTAACCATCTGTACATCTTCTCTGGAAAAATGTCTATTCAGGCTTCCTGCCCATTTTTGACTGAATTGTTTTTTGTTTTCATACTTAGTTCTATGAGTTGTTTATATATTTTGGATTAAAAACCCTTGTTGATCACATCGTTTGCAAATATTTTATCCCAATCCTCAAGTTTTTATTTTTTATGGTTTTCTTTCCTGTGCAAAAACTCTTAAGTTTAATTACATCTCATTTGACTATTTTTGCTTTTATTTCTTTTGCCTTAGAAGACTCATCAAAAAAATACTGCTATTTTTGTCAATGAGTGTTCTGCTTATGTTCTCTTCTAGGAGCTTTGTGGTTTGAGATCTTAAACATAGGTCTTTAAAACATTTGGAGTTTATTTTTTGTATATGGTGTGAGAGAAAGTTCGAATCTTTGTTTTGCAAGTACATGACCAGTTTTCCCAGCACCACTTACTGAAAACTGTCTTTTCTCCATTGTATATCTTGCCTCCTTTTTCATAGGTTTATTGACCATACGTGCATGGGTTTATTTCTGGACTGTTTATTCTACATCATTGATCTATGTTTGTGTTCTGTATCAGTATTATGCTGTTTTGATTACTGTAGCTTTGTTGTATAGTGTGGACTTTGAGAAGGTTATACCTCCATCTTTGCTTTTTGCTCAAGATGGCTTTAGTAACGAGGTATTTTGTGGTTCCATATGAATTTTGGATTAGTGGTTCTAGTTTTGTGAAAAGTGGCATGGGTATTTGGATAGAGATTGCATTAAAGCTGTACATTGCTTTGGGTGGTATGGATATTTTAACAATATTAATTCTTTCAACCCAAGAGCACAGGGTATCTATTTCTTTATTCACCTTCGATTTCTTTCATAAGTTTTTAGAGTATAGGGTTTTCACCTCCTTGGTTATGTGTACTCCTAGGTATTTTATTCTTTTTGATGCGATTTATTTTTTTTTTCTTTTTGATGCAATTTAAACAGAATTTTTAAAAATCTTTCTCTTTGTGATATTCCATTATTAGTATATAGAAATGTGACAGATTTCTGTATGGTAATTTTCTACCCTGCAACTTTAATAGATTCATTCATGAGTTGTAATAGTTTTTAAGTGGTCTTTAGAGCTTTCAATACAAAGTATCATGTCATCTGCAAAAGGTATGTTTTATCTCTTCCCTTCCAGTATGGGTGACTTTATTTTCTTTTTTCATTTGATTACTGTGGCTAGTAGGACTTTCAATACTATGTTAAATAGAAGTGGTGTGGGTGGTATCCTTGTCTTGTACCTGAATTCCGCAGGAAGTCTTTCAGCCTTTCACTGCTCCCTGAGATGCTGGCTGTGGGTTTTCTCATAGATGCCTTTATTATTTTGAGACATATTCCCTTTAAACTTTGTTGAGAATTGTTTTCATGAATGGATATTTAATTGTGTCAAACAGTATTTCTGCATCTACTGAGATAATTATGTGAGTTTTAACATTTATTATTTTATAATGGTGCATCACACATTGATTTGCAAATGTTGTATCATCCTTGTGACCCTGAAATAAATGCTATGTGGTTATGGTGTATGGTCCTTTTTATATATTGTTGGAGTCGTTTTGCTAATATTTTGTCTAGGATTTTTCTATTTATATACATCAAAGCTGTTGCCATGTCATTTTTTTCTTCTATAGTGTCTTTCTCTGGTTTTAGTATCAGGGTAATGGTGACCTTGTTGCATTTTAATTTTCTTACGATTACCTTGAAATGCCATTTGTTATCATTTAAAAAAAAAGCTACAACATACACAATTTAATAGTTAATTTAACATATTAGTCTCTATTTCAGAAATGCAGTAGTTAAATGCAGTTAGGAACAAGTTATTAACTATTTTTATTAATTATGAATTAATTTTTATATTTTCTCAAGTCTTTGAAATGGTTTATCATTTCAACATGTAGGAAAAATAACCAAATATTTTTACTGAGTTATAAAAATTGTTTTATCACTTCAACATGGAAACAATGAACACATCATCAGTTACTGTTACATTTTTCTTTCTTACTAAGTCTTTAAAATACAATCTGTTTTCATTTAAACAAGGAAACACTATACACAAACTACTAATTATTTTTCTATTATTTTTTGTTACCAAATTTTGACATTTTTTGTGTTACCCTTTCAACATATAAACACTAGGAACAATCTATTAATTAACGGTATTTTCTCTCAGTAAGTGTTGAAATGCCTTGTTTTATCATATTGACTTCTAAACATATGAGCAGGTAATTATTTTAACATTTTCCTTACTAATTCTTTGAAATACAAAGCTATCATTTTAACATATAACAATATAAATAATTTACATTCTCTTATCTTTACTGTTTTTTATATGCAGTATGTTATCATTTCAACATGTAAACAGTATACATAAATGATTAACCAGTTATTCTACACCCTTTGTTTCTTATTAACTCTTGGATACACAGTGTGCATTTAACATTTAGGGTACATCACATTTGAGAATAACCAAATTTCTAGACCTCAATATTCACATATGGTTAGTGTGCACCATACTGAACAGTGCAACCCTAGTGGAAGAGCAAACAGAATAAATACATATGGAACAATGTGTACCATGAAGGAACTGTACATGGTACATTAAGACAAAGAAACATTACAATAAATCTACTTAAATGGGAAAATAAGAGACAACAGAAAAGCTATCTGAGGAGGTAACATTCAAGCCATGATGTGAGGACTGAGCAGCTATCCAACAGGACAGAAGAGGCCAATATCATTTGAGCCAACCATGTAAAGGAAAATGTAAAAAAAAAGGTGGGGGTTTATGGGGATAAATAAGTTATCAAATGCTCTAGGGAAAACAGATAAACTAGTAAATGATAGGAGTATATACACTTCAAGTGAGATGAGGGACTTTATTTTTTTTAGCATGTGGAAAAGCACCTAAATCATAACAGATACTTGGTGAATGTGTGTGGAATAGCCAGTAACAAAGCCAGGGTTCTGAGACCTGAGAAATCAGGCAGTAACATGCTGATGAAGATACCACTAGGTAGTGGGCATAGTCTGTTTCTTTTTACCTGAATATGCTTTCTAATAAACAACCTGAGCAAATCAGAAACAGAGGAATTTGCAGGTACCTAGAGGGCAAAATTACTCAACAACTACCACCTCTAGGAAGAGTTTCAACAGATCTGAATTGTGTCAAGTGCCCATAAATTGATAAGTGGACCAATCAGTGTGGAGAAGGAAATGATGTGATATATTATGCCTCGGTCAGCTTATATCACATAGTCGTAACTTGGTTAGTAATGAGAAGATGTAGAGGGCAGTGGGCAAGAGATCAAGAGGACCTTTCAAATTCCTCTATTTTCTTTTTAAAATTTCTCTTTTATAGAGGTCAGTTACATATTCAACATTCCTAAACTCCAGTTTCCTGGAACAGTAGAACTTTGTATATGTATCTCTAAAAACTTGGGCTTCAGGCAAAACAATGAACCCTTAACAGCCACACATCAGTGATGAAACAACTCCTTATACAGTGGAAATCACTCAGAATAAGTGGCCCATTTCACATGATCCTGGTGTAACATGTGCAGCATCGCCTTGACCTGGGCCTGAACTTTGGCAAGTTTCTGTCGGTTCAAGCTGTAATGAAAATTCTGCTCCTGGTAACAATGGGCAGGAACAGGATAAATCACATGCCTCAGCCTCGGCAAGGATGTCAAGTGCTGCAGAAGGCTCTTGAGCACAGGCATCGTAATGGGATTGAAGGCAAAGTTAAAAACACGGAGGTGGATACATTGGTTCAGGGTTGGGATGATGGCTGAGAGAATAGAATCAGTCATCATACAATTATTTATCTCTAGATGTTGCACGGTGCCTGAGACCTTCTCCAGCAGAACCTGGAAGGGCTCATAAGCTTCTGAAAAGATCTGATTGTTATTGAGATTCAGTACCCTGAGGTGGGTGGCCTGAGAGCTTTGGGACAGGAAAGTGACATCTCTGATAGAAAGGCCACAGAAAGAGAGACACAATGTATCCATACAAGGTGGCAGGACTCTAAAGAGAGAAAAAGTAAGTTTATTTCAGAACAATGACAGCAAAAAGCCCCAAATTACAGGAATATATTCCTCTAGAATAAACTGCTATATACTAGTTTCCAATAGGTGGTTATCAATGTGGACTATAGGATCAGAGATTATAAATTTGGGACCCTGGGAAAGTTACTTTACCACTCTGAGGCAGAAGGTCTTAACCTTGAAAATGTGCATACCAGTAATTATTATACAGGGTTATGAGAAGGATTAAGTGAAAAAATCACATGTACTCAGTATATACAAAAATAATAAGTGTTGGATCTGGTTCACTTATTTGGTGAGGATGGGTCTAGGAAAGCAGCCAACTGAGGGTTTCCTTTAACTACTTTTCAGATGACAAGCTCTCCATTCAAGGGTCTAAGCCTTCAGGAAAATACAGGAGCAAAATTATCTGGCAGTGTTAACTCTTGTGACCCATCCATGGGCATGTGTATTAGAGCTACAACTTAATGTTTCTCTCTGAGTGCCTTCCCTTCCTCTCTAGAGAGCTATAAAGTCCAGGAGCAGAAGGACTGAGTCTTTTTCAGAAATCTAGGTACAGACATGTTCTAACTGTCTGCCTGTGGTCACTGAATGAATGAGTGAGCACAGCTTCCTTCACTAAACTCATCTGCCCCTCACCATAAGGTACCCCATTCTCCCCCAGCTAGGTTCAAACTCCCAGCAGTGCCTATGCTGAGGTGAAAAAAGAAATAAATTACTAGGAGTATAGGAAGACGCAAGAATGGTCCCTTCTTTCTTAACAATGAGGTTTCCAGGGAACCCAGATTTCTCCCAACCCCCTCACCTGAGCAGTTTGTGCAGTTGATCTTTGAGGTAGAAGAAAGACAACCTGAGCTCCTGGAGGTTTTCCAGCTGCCCAAGCCAGATGAGAAAAGACCTAAAGGGGATGTTAGACAAACTAAGGCTGTACAGGTGGATCATTCCAGAAAAAAGAGTGATGATCTCACTCAGATAAGCCTGATCCATTTCCAGATGATCAATGCACCCTAGATCCAGAATCTGAAGGATACGTTTGTTGGCAAACATTCTATTGATTTGCAAATCTCTGCAGCAGAGGTGCAAGAACCCAGAGCTCTGCTCAACTTTATTACAGAGGAAAGTGATAAACTGCTGTGTTCTCAAGGTATTATTGAAGGAAATATCCACTAATAATTCCATGGTTTCCTGAGCTGGCTCAACCTCAGACCTGGAATTACCAATCCCAAGGCATCTGGCATGAGGCTGAGTGTTTTCTAAGTTAAGGACAGCATGCTGAGGGGATATGCATGACTGTAAACAGAAAGGGAATGTGATCCTGACATGAGAGCATGTTGTCTTACAGTTTGAGTTGTGCCTTAAATCTAGGATCCTCAGTTTGTGGCCCCTGTAAGGAAAGGAGAAGACAGAACACATAAGATGTGATTGATTGGAACATAACCCAGCAAGACCGATGGTGGGAAATAGGGAGAGAACACCTGAATCCTGGTTTTCAGTTCATCACCATTTATCAAGAAGTTCTTTCCACACAAATTGAGCATCTTTCATCCTTTCCCCACACTTCCTTCACCTCTGGTCTTGCCCTGTCTCAATGCCCATGTCCCACTTCTATGTAATCACACCCAAATTCATTCATAGTACCCTCAACCACCTCTATTCTTCAATCAACTCTATAAGACAATGAAATACTGAAGGTGACCCCAACTGCTGAACTCATTGGCTAGTGTTGGGAGAAGGTTAGATACTTCCCTGCCCCAGGCTACAGCATACCCTCCTGCTGACTCCCTATAAATCTTCTGGTCATAGACTTACCTAGAGGAAGAGTTCTGGGCTGGGGGGATCGGCAGACCATCAATCATGGCTTCCAAGATGTCATAGTATGACACCTGTGCCTTCAGTGACCCAAGATGGAGACAGTGAAAAGGCCAGACCCTCACCATTGCCTTTAGGATCTTCTTATGCCCACCCAAGAAGGCAGTGCTGAACAATAGAACAAAGAGATCTCTTGGGATTTCTTCCAGAGCATGCATCACTGCAGGCTCACTACTCAGCAGACTCTTTGCAGCAAGCTCGAGGAGTGTGGCTGTGGTGTTCTGGTCCATCTTCAGAAACCTGTTTCAGAGTGGAGAATATTTAGATGTTCTGAGAAGAAATCTATAGTCTCTTGTTTGTTTCCAGGGATAGCTATGGACAAAATGCTTACTGAATAAGTATATGGGCAAATTATATGGCCAACTCAAGTGACCTCTCTTCTGGGAATAGAATGAAAATAACCTTGTGTGTGTTTTTAATTATATATATGCACACATACACACATTTAGATAAGACAAAATGTCATTATAAGTCATAGGTAAGTTAGCAGAAGCCAATCTTGACCTTCCTCAAATTATTTCTTCCCAGAAAGATACAAACCAATAAGAAGGAAAATGTGCATCAACATAAAAGCCTCACAATTCCTTTAAAATGGAGAATGCCAAAAATTCAAAATAATTGTGAATAAAACAAAAATCATGTAATCTCAGTATGATTTTTCATACTCCCATAACTAGGCTTTGTGGCAAGAAAAAAGATGGACATAAAAATCTTCCAAGAGATAGAGAGGAAGGAAGGTTGGAAAGGGCTTAAAGCAGATCTAAAACTACAGCAGAATGACTAAGCACAGAATAAATCTAAAAATACTGAAAAGGTGTCCTAGAATATGAGAGCATGAACTACAGGGGAGGAATTCCTAATATGAGTTTTTTAAGGGACACGGACAACTTAAAAGTGCAGTTTTTGAAAGATACAGCTTTTAGGGAAGAATAAGGCAGTGAAGAAGGGATAAGCCTCTGTTGGCACTTGGGTAATGATGGGAAAAATAAACAAAGGGGGAAGTTAAGGATCTTGCAATACATTAAAAAAAAACACAAATCAGAGTACTTACGACTTCTCCCTCAATCTCCAAAACAAACAAATAAAATGAAAGGTTGACATAAAGATTTTATATTCAACTATGGAAGTTACTAGAGTAGGGGTCAATCTTCACATTGGCCCACTAACCCAAATCAAGCCCATTGCTTGATTTTATATATAAAGTTTTATTAAAACAAAGCCATGATCTTTCATTTACGTATTGTCTCTGAATGCTTTGGCACTACAGTTACAAAGTAGAGTGACAGCAACACTGTGACCCGGAAACTTACAATATTCCCTACACTTCTCTTTACAGAATATTTGCCAAGTAATCTTCTAAAAGAGGAGCTGAGATTGTGTTCCAACAGGTGATGAGAAGGAAAACTTCACCAAACTATCTAACGGTGAGTATTTTACATGTAATACTAAAATCAACATGGAGGAAAGTGGAGAAGACTAATGTACAGAAATTTTATGCTGTGAAAAAACAGAAAATGTGCAAGTAAAATGAGAGAAGGGAGAAGTGTATAAGAAAATAGAACAACATTTTTACCATAATGCAAGAGGGGAGTGTTAAATGATACTGGAGGAAAAAATGCATAGACTAGAGAGTAAAGTGTTAAGGAAACAAGTGGTTCAGGATGAGTTTTAACAATGCATTAAACATGATGAAGAACATGTCTTAATCATAAAAGCAAAAAGTCACAATGAAGATATAATCCTTAAGAATATTTATGCACCAGGAGTACTGCAAACACCTTCAAAAAGTAAAAAGGGAAGGATATGTAGATAAAATAACAGTAATAAGAGAAAACAATAACAACAAAAGATTTAATACATCAAACTCAGTCTAAGGCTGATCAGATTGTATGAGACTAGAGAATAGGGTGGTCCCGAGATGGCAGAGGAATAGGATGGGGAAACCAGCTCCTCCCCCAAAAATTCATCAAAAGATCATTTGAATGTTGAGCAACTCCCACAAATCAATTTCTGAACATTGGTGGAGGACACAAGGCACCCAGAAAGGCAGCCCAAACTCTTCGAGAGGAGGTAGGAAAATATATAAAAGATGAAAACAGAGACAAAAGATTTAGGGATGGAGACCTGTCCTGGGGAGGGAGTCGTGAAGAAGAATTTTCCACACAGTAGGAAACCCTCTCATAGGCATGTCTTTGGGGAGTTTTGGAATCCCAGAGGGCAACATTCAGTTCAGTTCAGTCGCTCAGTCATGTCTGACTCTTTGCGACCCCATGAACTGCAGCAAAGCAGGCCTCCCTGTCCATCACCAACTCCCTGAGTTCACCCAAACCCATGTCCATTGAGTCAGTGATGCCATCCAACCATCTCATCCTCTGTCGTGCCCTTCTCCTCCTGCCCTCAATCTTTCCCAGCATCAGGGTCTTTTCTAATGAGTCATCTCTTTGCATCAGGTGGCCAAAGTATTGGAGTTTCAGCTTCAACATCAGTCCTTCAAATGAACACCCAGGACTGATCTCCTTTAGGGTGGATAGGTTGGATCTTCTTGCAGTCCAAGGGACTCTAAAGAGTCTTCTCCAACACCACAGTTCAAAAGCATCAATTCTTTGGTGCTCAGTATTTTTTATAATCCAACTCTCACATCCATACATGATCACTGGAAAAAACATAGCCTTGACTAGACAGACCTTTGTTGACAAAATAATGTCTCTGATTTTTAATATGCTGTCTAGGTTGGTCATAGCGTTCCTTCCAAGGAGTAAGTGTCTTTTAATTTCATGGCTGCAATCTCCATATGCAGTGATTTTGGAGACAAGAAAAATAAAGTCAGCCACTGTTTCCACTGTTTCCTCATCTATTTGCCATGAAGTGATGGGACCGGATGTCATGATCTTAGTTTTCTGAATGTTGAGCTTTAAGCCAACTTTTTCACTCTCCTCTTTCACTTTCATCAAGAGGCTCTTTAGTTCTTCTTCACTTTCTGCCATAAGGGTGGTGTCATCTGCATATCTGAGGTTATTGATATTTCTCCCGGCAACCTTGATTCCAGCTTGTGCTTCCTCCAACCCAGCATTTCTCAAGATATATTCTGCATGTAAGTTAAATAAGCATGATGACAATATACAGCCTTGACATACTCCTTTTCCTATTTGGAGCCAGTCTCGTTCCATGTCCAGTTCTGTTCTTTCATGTCCATGCTTTCTGACCTGCATACAGGTTTCTAAAGAGGCAGGTCAGGTGGTCTGGTATTCCCATCTCTTTCAGAATTTACCACAGTTTATTGTGATCCACACAGTCAAAGGCTTTGGCATAGTCAATAAAGCAGAAATAGACATTTTTCTGGAACTCTTGCTTTTTTGATGATCTGACAGAATGTGGTCCACTGGAGAAAGGAATGGAAAATACACTTCAGTATTCTTGCCTTGAGAACCCCATGAACAGCATGAAAAGGCAAAAAGGTAGGACACTGAAAGATGAACTTCCCAAGTCGGTAGGTGCCCAATATGCTACTGGAGATCAGTAGAGAAATAACTCCAGAAATCATGAAGGGGTGGAGCCAAAGCAAAACAACACCCAGTTGTGGATGGGACTGGTGATAGAAGCAAGGTTCAATGCTGTAAAGGGCAATATTGCACAGGAACCTGGAATGTTAGGTCCATGAATCAAGGCAAATTGGAAGTGGTCAAACAGGAGATGACAAGAGTGAACATCGACATTCTAGGAATCAGCAAACTAAGATGGACTGGAATGGGTAAATTTAACTCAGATGACCATTATATCTACTACCGTGGGCAGGAATCCCTTAGAAGAAATGGAGTAGCCATCATAGTCAACAAAAGAGGGCAACATAACCAGGAGAAACAAACAAACAAAGAATACCCACCTAACCGCAACTACAAGAGGAGAGTGAGAAGTGGCACAGACGCTTGCACCCACCACCAGCGGTGGGGGGGGGGGGATGGGCAGGGAGGCATGGGCTGAATCATTGGTCCTTAAGGTAAGGACTGGGCCTGAATGCCCTGAGGACAATTTGAGGGACCTAATGTGAGATAGCAACCCAAACCATGGGATTGACAGAGAGATTAAAAAAAATAAAAACTTTTCAATGAAAGGCTCTAATGCCACATGGTGACCCCTGGCACACACAGAACAAGTGATTGCACGAATACTAAAGGAGAGCAAGCCAGCCGCTGTATAGGGCCCTCCATCCCCAGAGGCAGAGAGGTAGGTGACAGCCAGAGACAGAAGGCAAGGAGCTGCTGCAGTCTCGGCCCCAGAGACCACATCTTCCACCAAATAGTGAGCAGGCTCCCAGTAGCTAACCATGCACTCCTGGGATCCTGGGTGGTTCACATCTGCCAGGAGTGTCACAGCCTGAGATCAGCTCCTGAGAGGAGACACATGGCACACCCGGAGCTGTGCTCTTGCAGCACCCCCGGGAAATCAAATGGCTGTAACCAGGGAGGTGCATAAGACACATGGCCCACCTGGGACAGTGCACTAGCCAAGCACCTGGTCACCTGAGCTGCTTGGACCTGGGAAGGGCACACAACTCACAGCCCATCTGGGTCTGTGCCCCTGTGCAGCACCCAAGAACCTTAGTGGCTTAGACCTGGGAAGTTTACCAAATGCAGGGCCCACTTGGGACAGTGCCCTTGCAGAGCACTCTGGAGCCTGACCAGTGTGGACCCTGAAAGTACATGCCACCTTGGGCTGTGGCCATACTGGTGTGGTCCATTCACTGCAATCACTCCCCACACATGCCAGTGGTACATGTTTGCAGTGTCCCTCTCTCCCCATAACACAACTGAACAAGTGAGCCTAAATCAGTGGCCACATTCACCCCCTCTTGTCAGGGCAGAAATTAGACACTGAAGAGATTTGCAAACAGAGGAAGCCAAAATAAACAAAGAAGGGGGAACTTCTCTGGAAGTGACAGGTATAACAGATTAAAACCCTGCAGTTAATGCTGAGACTGAACTTGAGGGGCACCTATAGACCTTGAGAACAAGTACAAGCTGAAACAAGGGATCATCTGACACTGAAGTGACCCCACACTGCCCATAATAGCTCCAGAGAAATTCCTAGATATAATTTCAGTATTATCACTTTTTAACTTTTTAAAAAATTTCAATTCTCTTTATTCTTTTAACTTTCATTTTTATAGCCTACAATTACCTTTATAAAAACCCTTTTTTAAACAAATTGCATATATATATATTATTTTTGTGTC